GGGGGGGGGGGGAAAGGGGGCAAGGAAAAACAAAAAAAAAAAAAAAAAAGTTAACTCCCCATCGCGGCCGCGCCACCGGGCAGAGCATCCCCAGCGCGCATCCCAGACGCGGCAGCCCCTCTCGGCCAGGAAGGGGTTAAAAAGTTCCCCTCCCAGCTGACAGTCAGCTGATGGGCTCCTCCTGATTGACAGCTCCGGAAAAAGTTTCCTTGTCTCTAGACTGTTATGCTAATGAGGCCCGGGCCCGGCGGCCGCCGATTGGCCGGGGCGCGGAGTCAATATCCCATTTGAAAAGGCGACGTCACGAGCCCTATAAAACGCAGCCTTGCTTTTAAACTCTTCTCCTCCCGGTTGAGCGCTTTAAAACATTTTTTGCATCTTGTCGCTGGAGCTTGGGAGTTGAAGTTTCTCTCTTCCCCCCCCCACCCCACTTTCAAAGTGATATTATTTTGGGTCATCGCCTTGACCTCCGCGTTCCTCGGCGCTCGTGTTTTCTCCTTTTTTTTCGTTTTTCCTCCAAATCCTTTGATTGGGCTCTCTCTCTTTTTTGCCTCCTTTGGTTTTCTGTTTGGGTTTTTTTTTTGTTTTTTTTTAAAAAACTTTTTTTTTTTTCAGTTTCTCTCTCTCTCAGTTTTTTTATCATTATTATTACGGCGCGCGCCCTCCCTCCCTCGCCCGTGCCCGATGGCGAACTGCTCTCCTCCTCCGCTTGGGCGCCGGGCATGAAAAGGAAAAAAGAACGGAGAGAAGACCCCCCGAGGTGTTAAACACAACCAAAAAAAAAGGAGGCCGAGAGAGAGAGAGAGAGAGAAAAGAGACCAGAGCAAGGGGAGGGGGGGGAGAGAAAGAAACAAACCAAACCAACCAAACCAACAGACCAAAAAGCCTTAACAACGATTGCCAACGAGAGAACTCCGCCAACCTTGTCTCTGCAAAGCTGCACAAGGGGAAGAAAAAGAGAGAGAGAGAGAGAGAGAGAGAGCGGGGGGAGAAAGGGGGAGGGGAGAGAGAGAGAGAGAGAAGCAGAGGAGAAACCAAGCCAGTCCCTGATGCAAAAGGCGACCCAATAGTGCACGAGAGAGAGAGCGAGAGAGAGAGCAGGAGCTGCTTGCGGCGCGCCGGTTGCACTCTTTGCAAAAGGATCCTACTGTATCCGAGAGAGAGAGAGAGAGAGACGCTGCAGATCGGAGCTTGCAGAGAGAGAGGAAGGAGAGCGAGCGAGCGAGCGGCTCAGCAGCTCTCGCCAACCATCAAACTGGCTCATCCGCTGGCAAGCCAGAGCAGCCCCCTGGCGCCGGGAGTGCACCCGTTCTGGCGGACGGTCGGCGGCCTCGGCAGTGGCGCGGGTGGCGGCGGCGG